AACCTAGGGGAATTTTAATCAGCGTCAAATTCCGTTTAGGAGATTTTTGGGAGTTCAAGGGTCAAACAATCATGTGAGCAAATTTTTTTCAAGTGCGAACAATTTTGTTCATGACTGGGAAATCTTTGAATACCCCTAGAATTCTCCTAAATTGTACTTTCCGCTGGAAAATCGTTTGCCGGTTTGATGAAGATGAAACTAGGGGGTTTTTGTGGGTTCAAGGGTCAGATAATCATGTCAGCAATTTTTTTTCAATTGCGAACAATTGCTCATGACTTAAGAATTTGTGAACACCTTCAGATTCTCCTGATTCTCATTCTCCGCTGGAAATTTTTTTGCTGATTTCGTGAAGCTGAACCTAGGGGAATTTTAATCAGCGTCAAATTCCGTTTAGGAGATTTTTAAAGGTTCAAGGGTCAAACAATCATGTGAGCAAATTTTTTTCAAGTGCGAACAATTTTTTTCATGACTGGGAAATCTTTGAATACCCCTAGAATTCTCCTAAATTGTACTTTCCGCTGGCAAATCTTTTGCTGGTTCCATGAAACTGAACCTAGGGGAGGTTTAATCAGCGTCAAATTCCGTTTAGGAGATTTTTGAGGGTTCAAGGGTCAAACACTCATGTGAGAAAATTTTTTTCAAGTGCTTAACTTCCACGGAACAAATGATAACTTCAAGGGGAAACTACAATTTTCTTGCCGATAACTGTATTAGTGGCAAAACTAAATAATTTCGAGGGGACAATTTTTTTTGGGGAAAAAAAATTTTTTTCCTCGTCAATGCATTCTTTTTATGGTATAAACCTATCGAGTTCTCTCAGATCAAATGATTGTCGTACAATAGATTATATTTTCTTCTGCCGACAGTTCGAATTCTTCCAGGGGTATTTCTGGTGATCACGACAAAAATTTAATTTTTGTGAAAGATATTGAATTTCCTTCCATCAAGTTGGTTAATTTCCCTCAAGTAAATCTGTTCCACTCCATCAAATGTTCTCACGTTCATACAGTTTTTCCGCCGAGTTAATTTTTTTCTCAGCCCCCTAATTCCCCTAAATCGAATTTTCCTCTGGATTCAGCGTCGTGGGATGTACTTTTTGTACCACCATTTTTATCGTGAAAACTTGTAAAAGTCGGGGAGACGAAAGTAGGCCTCAACGTGCAGTTTACTCGGGCGATGGGGGCGGCTGGGGACGGGGGGAGGGGAAATAGCATTGGGTATATAACCCGGGTCGCGTGGGCGAACAGAGTGGGCGCCTTGGGCACCGCGACGCCCACGACCGGGCGCCCACCGAGACACGAGACGATCTCCTCGTACCGTCTCACAGAGTTAACCCAGTACCTATGTATTATAAATGTATACATGTGTCCGAGTGAGAAGAGAGAGTACAACTCCAGTGGAGACGTTTATATTCAACGGCAACTGTGATAAAGACCCGACGTTAATAGAAATAAAAAGAAAAATGAGAGGCGTTTTGAAAAATTACGGGAATTGTAATTCAGCCCACATGTGCGCACAACTGGGATTCGTTGATAAATAAAAGTGATGATTTTTAGGTGAATTTTGGGTCATTGGAGGACCCGGGAGAATAATTTATTTTAATCAAATTAATGGGTTTATTTAAATTGCACGAAATAGTGTTTTTATTCAAGTTACATTGGTTTTTTTTACTGCGGGGACTGTTTATGTTAAACGAATGGTTTTTTTAATCATTGGTAAATCTATTTGATGCAAATAAATTCTTTGGTAATAATAAATAAATATTTTTTCTGTAGTAACAAATTTATCAATTTGAAATGAGTAAATTGTTTATTTGATGTAATTAAATTACTTCTCTTGAACAGAAAAAGATTTATTTTGATCAAATGAATGAGTTTATTTAAATAGTACGAAATAAAATTTACCATAACCGGGTCGAAGCGATGTAAAATAACGATTGAAAAAAATTAATAAATCTATTTGATGCAAATAAATTTTTCGTTAATAATTAATAAATAAATATTTTTCTTGTATCGAGAAAAGTCGTTTATTTCAAATGAATAAATTGTTTATTTGATATAATTAAATCCTGTCTCTTGAAATAAGAAACAGGATTTATTTTAATCAAATGAATAAGTTTATTTAAATAGCAGGAAATAAAGTTTTTATTCAAATTAAATTTTTTTTTTACTTCAGCTACTGCTTATATTAAATAAACGTCTTTTTATCATCAATAAATTTTTATTTGATCCAAATAAATTGTTTCTATGGTGTAATTAAATTCAGCAGAGTTAATTTTCACCGATGAACAACAGTGAAATTTATTTTAAACAATTCACTCGAAGCTTGAAAAATTAAATAATAATAAATAATAAGTAATAAATAATTAAATAATAAATAAATAATTTTTATTTATCCAAATTAAATTTTTTTTTGCTCCAGCTACTGCTTATATTAAATAAACGTCTTTTTATCATCAATAAATCTTTATTTGATCCAAATAAATTGTTTATATGGTATAATTAAATTCAGCAGAGTTAATTTTCACCGATGAACAAGATTGAAATTTATTTTAAATAATTCACTCGAAGCTTGAAAAATTAAATAATAATAAATAATAAGTAATAAATAATTAAATAATAAATAAATAATTTTTATTTATTCAAATTAAATTTTTTTTTTGCTTCAGCTACTGCTTATATTAAATAAACGTCTTTTTATCATCAATAAATCTTTATTTGATCCAAATAAATTGTTTACATGGTATAATTAAATTCAGCAGAGTTAATTTTCACCGATGAAGAACATTGAAATTTATTTTAATTAATTCACTCGAAGCTTGAAAAATCCGGTGAAAAACAAAACAAAGTTTGGAATCTTTTCGCCCGAAGAAATCCGCAGAATCTCGCAAGGTGGGCAGGAGAGGAAAAAAATACTGTAAGGGTCCTGCCTCATTTACCTGGTGGCTTTGGGTATAACACAATGAAAACGCCCAGGAGGATGCCCCCC